ATGGCCTGCCGGCAGGCAGGGGTGATGCCTGGGGCCAGTGGTGCCTGTCCCTGTCCCCTTTGCAGAGGTGGAGCTGGGGCGGCAGTGCCGCAGCAGGCACCCCTCCCCAAGCCCCGCGGCACCGGCCCCGCACAGACCCCAAGGCAAGAGGAAAGCCCCCGAGGAGCGGGATGGGGCACGAGTGGCGCAGCACTCACCGCAGCACACTGCGAGCCCCGGTACAAAGACATGGAGTGGGATGGAATGGGGTGGGATGCTGGGGGCGTCCCCAAGGTGCAGCAGGGTGCTGTGCCTCCTGACGCCCATCTTCACACCCCCACAGGGCCCCTGGCAAAGGCGAGGACCATGAAGAAACCAGAGAGCACAGATGCCCCCCGTACCTCCCGCGCCAGTGGTGAGTGCCGAACCCCTCCCTGGGGCAGTGTCTGTCTGTTCACCCTGTTTGCCTCTAGTCGAGGACATAGGGGGGGCTGCCTGCCCCGCTGAGCTGCCCCCCTGCCTGCAGCCCTCCAGGCAGTGGCCGCCTCGGTGCAGAGAGCGGTGGCCGTGGCAGGCAGTGAGGTGCCCATCACCCGTGGGGCCATTGAGGGTATCCTCATCAAACATGTGCTGGAGCCGGGTAAGCACAGCCCAGCCCAGCCAGCTTCCTGCTCAATTTATCCCCCAAATTCAGAGCTGCCCCCAGGCAGGGGGGTGGCAGGGAGGGAGCCCCACCAGAGCTGCTCTTGGCCTCGCTTGCAGGTAACTCTAAGACAGGCAGCAAGGCCGGGGGCAAGTCATACGCCCCAGCCGCCTGCGAGGAGCTGGGGGCCAGGAGCAGAAGCCGCAGCCTGAAGCCCCCCACCCGGCCCAAGGCATCCCAAAATGTAGGGACACCACCACCACCTGCTTTCATCCCGCCCTTTGCAGCTGCCTGAGGCTGTGGCAGGGGGTTGTCCCTGCCTGGCGGCACAGCCATGGCCTGGGGGCACCCCGCCCTGCACCAGGCTGTCCCAGCAGCTCCCCCAAACCCCTCTCCTGTCTTGTCTGCAGAGTGGGGAGCCCCAGCTGCACCCCCAGGGCCGGCTGCCAGTACCCACCATGCACAGCCAGGACCTCACACCCCACCAGGTGAGCCTCAGCATGTCAGCACCCTGAGAGTCACCTGGTGAGCCGGGGGCCATTGGGGTGTTCCTGGCATGTCCCTTTGGCCTGGCTGAGCACAGGAAACCTGGGGCTCAGCTGATGGGGGTCACGGGGCTACAACACCCCAGGAACAGGCGATCCCTGCCCTGGAAAGATTTGGTGTCAGGTGGGTGATGTGGGGGTGGAGGGCAAAGGGGTGGTGGGTGATGATGTCCCTTGCCAGCACGTGCCCTGCCACAGCCACGGATGCAGGCTGTCCACTGGTGCCACCCAGGGTGCTGGTGGCAGTGGCACTGACCCCCTGCCTGCTCCCCTGGGGCAGGAGAACGAGGACGAGTGTGCCGTGTGCGGTGATGGTGGCGAGCTCATCTGCTGTGACGGCTGCCCCAGGGCCTTCCACCTTGCATGCCTGGTACCCCCGCTGCCCCGCGTCCCCAGGTGAGTCCCGGGGTACCATGGGGACCCTGGTGCTCCCCCTGGCTGTCTCTCACTGCCCTGCTCTGGCTGTGAAGTGGGATGTGGCGGTGTGGCTCCTGTGCGGAGAGTGCAGACGAGAGGGGCCAGCTGCGGGAGGTGGACACAGCTGCAGAGCAACCCCCCGAGATCCCAGCCGAGGCAGCATGCGGCACCCAGCAGGGTGGAGGTGACAGGAGTGTCTGTGGTCGCTGCTTCACTCGGATACCCACATCCCGACACTGCCCTGCGCCCAGTGGGGAGCCTGGGTGAGCCCCACTGCTGCTGTCCCCCACATCTCAGCCTTAAATCCTCTCCTGGAGGAGGGGGCCTGTCCTTATGGTCTGTGTCACCCCCATTGGCTGTAGGGGGCTGCTGCTCTGCACGTCCTGCGTGGGCACTCCGGACACAGGCAGCCTGGAGAGGGCCGCAGCAGCCAGCGACCACCCACTACAGGCAGCGAAGGTCAGTACCATCAGGGCCTGGCCCTGGTGGAGGGAAACGGACTGGGTTGAGGTGGCAGTGCTGGGTGTGCCTTAGGGCATGATGAGGCTGAGGACAGATGGCTCTGGCTGGCTGAGGGACAGGCCGACTGTAGCTGGAGGTGAGATAGTGAAGCTGTGCTGGAGGGGCCGTGAGCTCAGGCTGTAGTAGGTGAGGGACTGAATCTGGTCACCAGCCCTGATCCAAAGGGGTGCGAGCAGAGGGCAGGCAGGAAGGCTGGAAGGACATGTCTCCTCCTGCAGGCAGAGGATGTTGCCCCCGCCGGCGAGCCCATGCTCAGCAGGGACGAGCTCGACGCACTCCTGGGTGAGGTATGGCAATCAGGGGGACACCAACAGGCAGAGTCTATCCACAGGGGACCACATTTTTGATGTGACCCACAGGGTGATGTTGGGCTCTGGATGAGACAGGGAGAGCTGGAAGAGTCGGGGGCGCTCAGGGAGTGGGATGGAAAGGGAGAGTAAACAGCCGGGGCTGTCCCGCAGGGCACCTGGGACGGGATCCTGCAGTGGGCATTCCAGAGCATGGCACAGCCCCTCGCAGACACCCACGGGCTCTTTGCCTAGTACATGCTGCCACGGGGCCAGCCCCCACACCAGAGCAGAGAAGGGAAAAGGCGCCGGGAGCAGATGGGACATAGCAACTGCAGAGCTGTTAAGATAATCCAAAAAGAAGACATCATCAACTACAGCAACACACCAGCAGCTACCAAACAACAGCAGGATATGTGAAAAATCTATGTAACTATTGAAAAAGAGAAAGCAACGACTAAATCAGCACTAATATAGAAAAAGAAAAAAACAAAAATAAAATAATACAGTTTAATAGCGAAACAAAAAACGTGGAAAACATACAGGAAAAAAAAATATACAAAAATGGACCACTCACATACCGAGAAACACCACCTTTAAAAAAAATCAAACCCTCAAAAAAAAAACCAAAACCAAAAAGGGGAGGCTAG